TTCAGTTTGAATTTGCATATGAGTAATTGTTGGTCTGTTCCACAGTCTGCCCCTGGCCTTGTTTTCACTGATGATATGGAGCTTTTCCATTGTCTCTTTCCACAGATGTAGTCAATTTGATTTCTATGTATTCCATCTGGTGGGGTCCATGTGTATGGTCATCTCTTATGCTGTCTAAAGAAGGTATTTTAAATGAACAAATCATTGATTTTGCAGAATTTTATCATGCGTTCTCCAGCATCATTTCTATCATCAAGGCCATATTTTCCAACTACTGATCCTTCCTTTTGCTCCCAACCTTTGCATTCCAATCACCAGTAATGAGCAATACATCTTGATTGCATGTTTGATCAATTTCAGATTGAAGAAGCTGGTAGAATTCTTCTATTTCATTCTCACTGGCTTTAGTGGTTGGTGCATCAATTTGAATAATAGTGGTATTAACTGGGCTTCCCTGTAGGCGCATGGATATTATCCTATCACAGACAGCATTGTATCTAATGACTGATCTGAATATGTTCTTTTTGACAATGAATGCAACAATTTGTTCTTCAATTTTTCATTTCCGGCATAGTAAACCATGTGGTCATCAGATTCAAAATGGTCAATACCAGTCCATTTCAGCTCACTAATGCCTAAGACATCGATGTTTATGCATTCCATTTCATTTTTGACAACTTCCAATTTTCCCAGATTCATACTTCATACATTCCATGTTCCGATTTTTAATGGATGTTTACAGCTGTTTCTCTTCATTTTGAGTTGTGCCCCTTAAGCAAATGAAGGTCCGAGGGCTTTACTCCGTTCGTTCGTGTCATCATGGTCAACTTTACTTTGAGGAGGCAGCTCTTCCCCAGTCGCATTTTGAGTGCCTTCCAACCTGAGGGGCTCATTTTCCGGCACTGTAACTGATAAGTGTTGCTCTGCTATTCATAAGGTTTTCAGTGACTAAAGATTCAGAAGTAGTTTGTCACTCCTTCTTCCTAGTCTGTCTTCATTTGGAAGCTCATCTGAAACCTGTCCACCATGGGTGACCCTATTGGTATTTAAAATAGCGGTGGCATAGCTTTCAGAATCACAGCAACTCACAAGCCACTACAGTACAACAAACTGACAGAGAAGTGGTGGCCATTTTGGGTTAGGGTAGCCAATGTCTAAGTTGCCTATCCCTGTCAACCCTGTGTACCGAGGGGGTGAGAATGGTCCTCGCTGTAAAGATTTGTTTCCTCTTTTGAGCTACTACACCCATAAGTATAGGTCAAGTTCATCAAATTGTAACAGATTATTCTTTTTGTCCTCTTCTTTCTTCCTCTAGTTGAATGCTGATCATCCAACCATTGAAGCCAGCTCAAGTGGGTACTATCTCAAGTATGGGTGTTCTTGTGCATCTCCCCTCACTTTTTATCAGCTGGATGCTTCACTCTCCACTCTAGTCTTCTATGGCCATGTCCCTGTTCCAGAGCCCAGGAGTCTCCAAGTTTCTGCATACTGCTGGCCAACCAGGTCTCGACCCAGGTTGCCAGGAGTCTATTGAACGTGATTAGACTTAGCTCACAATTTCATTGCTGTTTTTCCCCCACTTCCCCTTATTGGTAGACCAATGTGGTCACCAGCAAGACCACATGCCTGTTCATGTATTCCACTTGCATCTCAGTCTTGGAAGGGGGTTTTCCCTGAGGAGAC